TCCCTCGGTCTTACATAATTTTCGCACAAATTCCAAATTGCATTGCAAATTTCTCGTGCACTTATTCCGTTCGGTAATTAATCTGAGAATTCGTGGAATTCAATTTTTTTCCTTCGATTTCCCAGAAAAATAACCGTAGAAAGATTTTTAATTGCGGATTGGCTGAATTGTTCGGTAATTTTTACTGGACATTTCGGTTCGTGGAGCACCCAAAAATGGTCACATGCTTTTTTTTTTTTGCGAAAAGGGATTGAAATCTGTCATCAGTGCTCTCTCAACTGTCTATTGAATCCGGAGAGCGGTACCGGGATTGCACGTAACGCCGCAACCGGAGAACTGTAATTGGTTCGTAATTAGCGAACCAAGCTATGCTATTTCTATTTCCTCTTGCCGTTATATCTCTCTCGTGAAAAAAGATGAAAACTAACCGCTAAACCGGATTTAAGAGTAAATTCAATGCGATCTGTTTAAAGATTTTTCCGGTTTCTGCAGTCACTATTTCAGTCATTAATCATAAGCCATTTTTGACACCAGTAAATTGATTTAAAATTTTCCCATAAATAAACGAAAAAATATCTTTCTGCAAAATTTTTAGCAACGACAAAATAACAATGAATCTCCGAGTTTAGAATTCACTAAAAATTTGATTTTATTTTCAATTTTTGTCTACAAAATTAAAGCTTTTAAAATAAAAATAATGATGGTGAAACCGGGAATAGATTTCCCCGAGGGATTGATTTCCGCTTGACTTCCGATTGATTCTCAGTGGTAAAATACAACAATTATAACTGCAAACACACTAAAATGTCCTAAAGCTCTGGACTAACAATATAAGTCAAAGGCGTAGTTTACATACCACGGGTACAGTGTTACCTGCTAACTATCACCGACGTACATAATTTACCGTGAGTAACGCTGGATGGTTGTATGTATTTGATGGTGCGGGCAAAGCTCCATGCATATATTCATGAGGCTATGTAACATGGCTGCCGAGAGCTCTCTTCTTTCCTATCTTTTCCTCTCCCTCCGATCCTCTGGCCCTCATCACCACTCAATACCCTCTCCTTTTATCCCCAGCACATCTCCAACATGACTCTCTCCATCTCATTTCACTTGTGTAACAGCCACCCATACTCTCAGCATAAAACAACCATCCAAACTGCCGCACTCAATATTTCCTCTACAATCTCCATAAATCCGATAATTAACCATCTCTCAACATTTTATTAGAAATAGCATAATTTGAATAATCCAATTGTCCATTACCCAAAAAAAAAACAAATGATCAACCACTGATAAATCGATAGTAAAATTTATTGCGATGAACAATCAATTATATCAATTATTATTGAACATGAAAAAAGAATTCTCTAGTATTCGCTTTATATTCAAGAATATTGATTAATCATTAGACGATAATTCATAAATCATAAATAATACTAATACATAATAAAGAACATCTTTTGTGACATGCATTAATTTCTCAAATGAAGAAAAGAAATGGATACTTAAAATTTTATTGAATCGGTTCGTTCGGAGGGAATTTTCAGTGTAAAACTGGAAAATGGCGATAAGCAGTGCCCAGGAGATGATTATTTGGAATCAACTGAGAACCGGATCTCGTGGTGGAGTCAAATATCTGGTCAAAGCCAAACGGCATTCCATGTGCGAGGGTTTTTCTCCTCTCTCCTTTGGAGGATATACAGCAGCTGCCTCCATTCAGAAAAAAAAAATAAAAGAATACAGTCAAAGGGACCGGTTGGACAATACATGTCCTGCACACTCATAACTCACAACTCTCAGAAATTCACGTCCTAATTTTCACCACTGAATCCCGGAAACTCTTATCGCCTCAAACTTCCGCTGAAATTTCTTCTCATTAAAAAATCGAATGTTCCACTGTTTCCCTGGGCAGATCAATAAAATTGTTTATTTTTCTCGGTGCAGATTGACGTGCGATGAATTGAAATTGAAATTTCATTTTTAAAATATCGTGGAAAATTTCGGAATTCTGGTCAGATGGGTGAATTCATGCTCCATTAAAAAACTATAAAATAGTAAAATTTTAATTTCACTTCAACTGAAAACTCATGGATTCCCTTGAATTATACAGAAAATTAAAATTTCCATAATCATCTCCCTCAAATTCAATCCGATCCTCCGTTATTGATATCTCTCCATTTCTATTACGCAATTGATTAATTTCACAGGTTCGACATAAATTTTAAACTAGTCGTAAACCAAACAGTTAAAGAGATACTATTACAAACAATTAATGGCTAGGTTTTGAAACGAAAATGTGAGGGAAAAAAAAGGAAATTATGTGGATTCAAATGAGCAGAAACGATTGCATACCGTAAAATGCTCGTAAAAAAATAATAAAAATGAGTCGGGGGAGAGACGAAGTGACTGTATGGAACAACAAATGGTCTATGAGCGGTTCTAACGATCCAACCAATGGCTAAAAATCACCACGAGTTGTAAAAATCGATAAACTACTATCGAATGCCAGTACTTGCAGACTTATGAATTTTAACATCAGTGTAAAAATCGATATAAATCCTCGCATAAACTTGTCGACAAAAAACTTACGAAACCGTGACTTTTAGCTCGTGTTGTTTTTGGTTGTAAAAAAAAACGGTACGAGGAACAACTTCTCATGAAAGAGTCGTTAAAGCCGACGGAACGCATAATCTCTACGGCAATTCCTACAAGTCGCTAAAAAATACTTCCCAGTGGTCAACATGTCTTATTTTAAATATCATGGACTGCTTTATCTGCGTAATTCCTTGAACATGCGATTGAGAAAAAAATATTTCTCTTCAAACTAGAGAATATCGCAGATATTTTTCACTGTTATACTCCAATTTTTTTTACACTAATCGTAAAATTGAAATAAAATTGGAATGAGATTGAAATAAAATTGACATGATTCAAAAGTTTTTCAATGGCTATTTCTTTTTTATTAGCTTTATGTCGGACATCTTCTCACTCTGAATTTCTTTATGGAATTCTTCAAATTTTCTGATACTGCACTGAGAAGAGAATGTGTATTTCCCGAGAATGTTAGATTCTTGATATTTACCATCTGTTCTAGAGGGATTACTTACAAAAAGATATTTTCTTCTGTCAGCAATATCAATCCTTGGCTGAAATATATTTTTATCTCATGGTGAATTTAGTTGGATGTCTCCACACCGTTTTTCTTGTGTTATTTCCATTTTTCTCGTCTTTATATTTTCACAATCAGGCCTTGTCCTCCTTTCGCTCAAATTACTCGGAATGTCATTTTGAAATTCTGAATACTGGAGTAAAAAATTACCGTTGAGCTTGAATGGAGGGTTGTATGATTAAAATTTTGAGACGAGTGGCGAGAGTTAGAAGTTTTTTGAAATTAAATTCCGAACTGATTGATCTGAATCTAATTTCAATTAATCATCCGAATCAATTGATCCGCTAATAATTCCAAAATGTTAACAATTACTTAAAATTGTAACGCAGTTATTCGTTGGGTTATGAAATGTTCACCGGAAATGTAAAGAATTGTCCGTGGGTGCTGATTTGGTCTCTCTCTCGTTTCCGGGGTTTTTCTTTCCATTCCCCGTAGGTTCTTTCATTTACTTCCCTTCATTATTTTCTCCACTGTCATTCTTGGTGTTTTTCATTAGTCACGTCTCACCATGTCTGTCATTACAATCCCTCGGCCTACCTCTCCATTCACCATACGTATTTCAACTTTTATTTTACCATTTTTTATGATTTACCTTTGAGTTCTCTTTCAAGTTCACCGATGATCCCCGGAAAACCCACAAATTCCCGTCAATTTTCCCAACTATCCTCCCCCAAAAGTTCCGCAACAGTCCAAATTAAATCCAAATTCCCAAATTTTTAACAGTTACTTCAAATATATTCTGAAACATTCCACAAATTATCGCATTATCAAAGTCATAAACATTTAAATATACGGCTAGGTGAATCGCCATAACTTGACAACTAGATACTTCTCTAGATTATCCTCGTCCATAACTCCCAGTGATTTATCCAACTGTCAAACTAAATCAATAAAATATCCAATTATTCGCATAATTGAATAATTATATATATGAGATACGACGAGAGCTTCGTAAATAAAAATTCAAAAGTTTATGATTACGGGTGTGAAACGAATGGATATTAAAATGTTCATAACAATTTTCAATGCATATCACAATGACGAGTCAAACATACTCTCAACGGATGGACGTGGATTTAAGTGAGAGAGAGAGTTGCGGTTTCTCCGGTAATTCCGTACGAATGTTCCATATGTTGAAACACAGTTTACAATTGCATTTCGGTGTACTGTATACTCAGTGTATTATAGAAGGTAACAGGCATATACCAACGTCACTTCTGTAATTATGGAAGCCCCGGCATAAACTTGACGATTTGCATTTCAAACTCTCTGCCATTGTAATCCTCGGGATTCGCAACATGCACCAGAGACTGTAGGAGATTAATAGAGAAAGGTTTCAGCAAGAGTGGATACACGAATAACTAGAAATAACTAGAATGTCTGCCCTATCAACTCGATTTTCTCGCTATTACAACAACTTACTCTTGTAGTTCGTACGATTTTAGGAAATTACTATTGAAATTGTACTCTCCTGTCAATTCAGTCACACCCACTCACGAAAATTACTGCGTGAGTTAGTAAACCCGATTATCACAGCAACGTTCATTGACAAGTCTATTTTTATTCCGTATTTTTATTTCTATCCATCAACCCAAAATCGAAAATACAGCCGAAAAAAAATGAATAATCCTCTCATCACGCGATATATCATCATTGATAATTAATTTCGGCAATGACGTAGATCATCTCCATAGTAATAAATAAAGGGGAGTCAGATGTGAAATTATAATGATATAAAATGATAATTTTTTGACGAACAAGTAATTTTATTTTCCCCAGGGTTTGGCACGAATATTCATCTAATGATAAATTATAATTTTTTTTCCAGGATATGTCAGACGTGTGTGTTGGAACGAGTGTCGGAACCATAACAGAACCTGAATGTCTGGGGCCGTGTGAACCTGGAACAGCGGTAACACTTGAGGGAATAGTTTGGCATGAGACAGAAGGAGGTGAGGACCTACAACATTTAAATGATCTCTCCCATTTATTTCAATCACATCTCAATTATATTAATCAAACGCACGCTACCCTCTCATTCGTGTTGAATTTCACATTTCCTGTCGTGATAACCACAGATGATAATAATGATACAAAATAATTAATATTATTTGTGCGAATGAAATTCACATCGCCTTGAGCAATCACATGCTCCACACTTATTTTCCACTGATTCAAACCACCAAAATTGCTCCGTCACGGGTGAAAGATAGTCGTAACCCGGGACACTGGTAAAACCCATATATTTATCGAATCTCAATTGAATATCACAATCTGCTGGAACCCCTATAATTCCTACCAGTTTTATTGCTGTCCTCGATACCCCAACGGTCAGATCCGCTCTCTATCTCCATTACGATTTTTCCACATTGTTATTTTTACGCATTAATGGACCCCTCGAACTTCTCCACTCACTGAGCTCTTCGAGTTTTATTTATCCTCTCGAATTGAATGTAAAATGTAAATTGGGGTCCCCGAAACTACTACTAAATATTTTACCTGACAAGTCAAGTGTTTCATTGACTATTATTATCCCATTTTATCCGAGGAGATGATATTTTACCTCTGGATATCCAAAATCCATAACTATTTGACACGACAAAAGGGTCTCGAGGTGAAAGAAATTGGCTACCAATGAAGTAAACTGCAAACATGATGTATCATGAAAGGCTGTGATGCTTTGACACAGCACCATGTCGATATCACGAATGTTCATAGAGAGGATACAAGAGGTTGAGATCGACATGGTGGCAGAATTCAAGAGGAAAAGAGACAGATCGAGCATCGAGCCTCGAAGGAGAGGGAGAATGTTGGCTCGTTATCGATCCTCTTGGCGTCTGTTTTCCTTCCCCTCTTCTGGAAAAAGACAGAAAACGTACAATTTTCTCTCGAATGAACCGTAAAAGAAATTTATCAGATTCCCTTTGTAAAATCCTTCATCAACTTTCGAGCTTGCGTATGACAGAATTAATCAGTTGTGAAAAAACTCCAATAGTACAACATCCAATCACTGTTAATATTGCTGTTTTATTTTTCCTCGATTGTTTTTTCTTCCAACATTATTCATCTTTTTGTTCCTTCGAATAAAGGTCAAGTGGTTTTAAAGTAGCCTCATGAACGGCTTTCTTTTGTCTCCATGTTGATTTGTACCCAGCGAGTCGGAAAGGTCGAAGTTGAAAATTTCGCTGTACCATTGTGCAGTTTCTGTATCTCAGTCTTTTATTGACAATGCTGATTACCTATCCTTTGATTATCCACTCCAGTTAATTTCTGCACTTTATGAAAAAATTCCCAAGATGATTTGCCAGATGCACGAAAATATATATATATATATTTTTAATTTTCAATAATCGTGAAACCTCCGGGTAAATAATTCTCTTTTTCTTCTCTCGTTTCGAGAGCCTCCTCGAGAATACTCTCCTGGCTGACAGTAAAATTAAACTAAAAAAAAAAATGAAGTTGAAAAACAAGCGCTTATGCTCACAATGGTTATTCACAATATAAACCAATAAACCAAACTCTTTCCTTGGTCCACTTACTGGAGTTCCACGTCTCTTGTATTTTTCAACAAAACCCATTGTGTACATTTTGTCGAATAGCCCATACTCATTTCTTTCTCAATGCTCCATTGAATTCGACGAGTAATAGGGATGAAAGAAATACGACGGTCAATTTGGCCTACACTTTGAAACGAACCGTGAAACATTAATTTACACTAAATTCTGTTTTTGAAAGCTCGAAAAGACGTTACAAGCATTAGTTATGTAAACTCGGTTGGATCGATTTGTCTGTTAGAGGTTGTTACAAAAGATGTATTCTCTGGCTTTACAGAAATAGGTACTCAGTGTTATCTACATTCCTATTGTTTACTTATCGGTTAATGTTTGATGTTTCGTTGGTGAATTGTACGTGTAGCTTGGGTTTAGTAAGTGACTCTCGAGTGATAGCTCAGTTTGCTCAGTGCTCAAATATCTCATGGCCAATTTGATAAACAATATAACCGATAAAATTGAATACAGACGTAAACCGACAATTACTATTTGGGACGTACTATTTTTCTGTTGCAGGTGTATTGGTCGTTAATGTAACGTGGCGGGGTAAAACCTACGTTGGTACCCTATTAGATTGTACAAGACACGACTGGGCGCCACCGCGTTTCTGTGATTCACCAACGAGCGATTTAGATGCAAGAACACCAAAGGGCCGAGGCAAGCGTGGCCGTGCTGCGGCTAATGCAACACCTGGCAATGACCTCAGTAATTTCACCGAGACACGTAGCTCGGTGCACAGTAAATTGAGAAATGGTGGTGCTAAAGGTAGACGAGGTGCACAGGGTTCGCCAGCGGCAAGTCCAAGCCCAGCGGCATTTGTACCACCTAGGCCCGATCCAGCGGCAAAAAGAAAGTCACGTGGTCCCGAGGAGGATGAAAAAACCAAGAGAAGAGTGGTGGCAGCTGTTGCACCACCACCAACACCACCAAGTGGCTCACCACCGGCTAGTCCAGTTCTCATTGAATGTCCCGAGCCGAACTGCAGTAAAAAGTACAAAAATATAAATGGCCTGAAGTATCATCAGAGCCATGCCCACGGCTCAGCCGATGATGATGATACCAAGGAGGGTATTACAAGTATGTCAGAGAATGACGAGAGTAATATCGAAGCACCCAGTCCAGCTACACCTGTTAAATCACCAGCGGACAAGCCCGAGGGTACACCAGTGAGACCAACTAGTCCTCCAGTTGTTCCACCAGAGACACCACCACCGAGGGTGCCATCACCAACAGCCGAGCCAACACCAACATTAGCTGACAAGAGTAGTAGTATTGTCAAGCCTGGTGTACTGAGGTTTGGCCAGGAGGATTTACCAGCCCCATCGATTCAGTCAAGTCCAAGACCTGTTCAACCAGTACCAACTGCACAGCCACTACAACCAGTCAATCCCCCACAGAGCCCCAGTCCCCATCCAAGTCAATCACCAAGGCCTGTACCATCGCCTCACTTGAACACAAACATTCCTCAACTGATAAATATACCCCAGCCACCACAGCCCACGCAACTTGTCCAGCATCAGTTGCAGAATCAGTTGCTCCAGGCACCACAGGCACTGATGAATCAGCCGCAATCACAACCCCAGACAATGCCAAGTCCTCAGCCAGCGCAGATTCAGCCTGCCCATCAAATACCCATACAACATACCCCTCAACTTGGCCAGCAGCCAGCCCCAGCTCACATGGTGCATCAAACGCCTCTACCCCAACAGCCAGTACCACCTCCACCACCTCAGACATCTCAGTCACAACAGGCCAATCTTCAAACGTTGAGTCAACATCCTGGCTTGACTATTCCCACGCAAATCACTCAACAGCAGCAACAGGCAATGCAAAATCCAGCACCTGGACATGTACCCACACACATGCAGTATCCCACTGTTGGATTACATGGAAAGATGCCACAGTTCAAGGTCAAGCCGACGGCAGCTCTTATGCCTGAGCAGGACAAGAGCAAAGACCCGAGAACACCGAAGCCCCAGGGTTACAAGAAGAAATCGAGAAAGTCACCGGGTGGAAGTCCACATCCTTCGCCCTTGGAGACACCAATGGTGGATCCAGCGAGAGAGGATGTCCAGAGTCCAGCGTACTCAGACATATCTGACGATGCGGCACCGGTTCTCGAGGCTGAATCAGCGGACAAAGCGAAACAGGGACAGGACAAGGATGTGAAACCAGGGGGACAGACGCATTTACCACCTCATTTCAGTATGTACCCATATTATGGACAACCTCCTTACCTAGTGCCCAATGTTCAGGACAAGCAGGGAGACCAGAAGCCCAGTGATCTCACTCCAAAGCAGGAGCTCAAACCCCTGAATATCCCCCAGATGCCCTCGATGGCGAGCCTCCAGAATCCCGACAAAGAGAAGAAAGATTTGTATCCACCACAGCAGCAGGCTCACTATTACGGTGGCTACGGTGGTTTCATTCCCTCGACTTATCCCCACCAGGCAGTGAGCCAGCCACAGCAGCAGCCACCGCCACCCCAGCAAAACGATCAGGATCCGCACGACCAGAAGACAAAGATCAAACAGGAGTCACAGCAGCTGCCTAGCATGAAGGACAAGCAGCACGAGAATCACCAGATTTTGAAAGAAAGTATAGAAATGAAGAGTCAGATGAGTCCTTATCACGTTTATCACGGTCAAAATCGTCAGTCAGCTCCTCCAGTTCAGGACGACAGGAGGTATTACCTGTACCCTGGTGAGCAGAGGAGAAAGGAGGACGTGGTGAAGGCACCACAGCAAGCAAAACCACCTCCTCCCAGTCCGAAGCATCAGTCGAAGCAGGAGAAGCCTCAAGACCTCGGTAAAAGTGACGACTCCAAGAATAAACAGGAGGGGGTAAAGCCGACGATGGAAACACAGGGCCCACCACCACCTCCAACCTCTCAATACGCTTACATTCATCCTGGTGCATACATGCCACCCCAGCATTATGCTGGATTACCCTTTGACCCTGGACACCCTGTTTACAGGGGTCTCAGTCCCATTATGGTGCCAGGTCCTTACTCTGGCAATCCATATCTCCATCAGCTCCCAAGGTATCATGCACCTGAGGATCTGTCAAGACCACCTGGTGGTAAAGCGTTGGATCTGCTTCAGCATCATGCGAATCAGTACTACTCAGCGCACAAAATTCACGAGCTTCAGGAGCGAGCACTTAAATCACCAACTCCAAAGACATCAGCTGCATCGGCTAGTCCATCAGCAGCTGGTCCAACACCAGCTAGACCACCGAGTGGACCACCAACATCTGTTGCTGGGCCTGGACCGCCCAGCGGTCAGGGGCAACAGCAGAATAAACAACAGGTACCTGGTAATCCGCAACAATCAGCACCTGGTGATCCTGGTAATGGGGGAATTGGAAAGGACAGCAGATCGCCACCTCCACAGAGGCATGTTCACACCCATCATCATACACACGTTGGGCTTGGCTATCCTCTGTTGACTGGACAGTATCCTGCCCCTTATGGAGGTAAGCCACTCGTCAGACCCTGACAGTAAGGCTACCGGCGATTCCGCGGCTCCAACTCGATTGAATAATGTGCGTCCATCAATGGCCAATCCCCGACATCATTGGAGATTCATTCGACGCGATTGAGTTTGGGAGGGAGGGCTTTATCACGCGAGTAGGGAACGAATAAATTATCCATAAATCCATAAATTTGGTATTAATTATCGTGACTCGGTGATCAGTCTAATCAATACGTCTCAGCTGAATCTAGTCGATTTTAATGTGCGAGAGATGATTTTCGTTGTTTGTAAATAGCATTTTGTATGAGGGATTTCTCGTTATTTTTCTTTTTCTTTTCTTCGAGACGCCTCGAATGAAATTTCACTGATTTAGCTGGAGTGTTCTTATTTATCTCATCGCGCATGAAATAATCGATGAATTCAATGAAATCGAGATCTTATGGAGGCGTAACAACAATTCAAAATTCATATTTTGTTGTCAGGTCGAGAGTGATTCGGCAGTGGAGAGTGAAGCCCTGAGCGGGAACTATTCTGCAACGCTACGTGAGAAAATGATAAATATACTGTTGTATATAAAGCCATGACGCGGCATAAGACAAATTGCCTGCACAAAGTCATCGTGTGGATAGTTTTCTGATTTTTTTTTATCTTTTTTTTTTTCATTTGTAATGAGGACAAGTGCGAATTTCTAAGGCTAAGAATACAAACAATATTGGAGAATCGTCTAGTTAGGTTTTAAAGAAACATAGGATAGTTCAGACTGTGATAATTATTTATCGTGCTTCTCTCTAATCGTATGTTGCCGAAATAACACAACACTATACAACAGACACTAATGATCATGTTATCAATGTATATTGACGTGTTTTGGAAATCCGAGTAGCTCAATGACATTGTCACTGTGGTCATGGGTTAATTTTTTAGTCTTCCAGAACTGGCGAAGAGACAAAAAATTCTGATCCTCACGTGATTTCATTTCAGTAGACAAGTGGTAAAACGAGATAAAATACATTTCAGTTAAATATCAACTCGTCAGTAAAATCATTTCCCTCTTCTCGGTTTTTCATGAACATCTCGAAATCTAAGATTAATAGCGAATTTTGAAACCTGCAAAAAAGGTATCAATCAAAATTTCAGTATTCCTCTTAAATTCCGAGATATGTAATCACTCAAAGAGGGAAGATCTCATCTCTTGACATCTGCTTTTTAATTCAATCCATCTTCCTTTACCACTTGGCCACTGATTTCATTTCCGTAATATTACGTTTAGCATCCACTGCCAATAATCCTCGATATACGAATTTCAAAATGAAAGGAGTGAACACAGTGTCAGTTAACTTGAGAAAATTGACGAACAAATAATAAAAAAAAAAAATCGTTATGAAAAATTCCCGAAATGTCCGTGTTGAGGCCAAATCTGACGTTATTTTTCGGTAGGAGCTGGAGTCGGGCGGGATCGCTGATGGTTTTATTCAATAGTCTTAATTATTGTTGAATCAGATCAATAAAAGAAACAACTACAGAATCACTTCTTGAATTTGGAAAATGACTGGCTTTTATCAAACTGTCAAGGCATCAGTGCTTTGAAAGTATTGATGAAACCATTGATGATCTGACGTTAACGAATGTGTATTTTGCAGCGGCCGTGCTGGCGAGTCAGCAGGCTGCCGCTGTAGCCGCTTCGGTGATCTCGCCCTTTCCACCCAAGTGACCCGCGGCCCCCGCACCCATTCCCGCAACCGGAAATTCAGCACAAACCCACCACACACATCCGACATCCACCGCAACCGGTGCCAGTGTGCTGCACTCGCACGCCAATCCTGCCAGACAGCCGTAAGACCCATCGAAGATCATTATTTAACCAAGTGGTAAAACACACGGACAAACTCATTAAAACCCCTGCCCCCATTCCTTAAAAAAATCAGTCCTCCACAAGCCCCAGCTAAATTACGAGATTATTTAGATGAAAATCTCTTCGTCACTTGGCCATCAATTTCAATTTGGTGATTATCGAGTAGAAATTTATGGCTATGTGATATCGACGGTTTATCACTCTGTCAATCATACGTCAATTGAAAATCGTTCGCGACAAGAAACACGGTTCACTGACAAGTAGCAAAAAGGATCTCCGTTAAAATAGAGTTTTTTTTCTTTCTTAATATTCCAAAAATCAGTAGGCGCTATTACTTAATTGAATGGAGAATTGAAAAATGTGTAAAGCGTAGGGAAACTGACGAGTGAGAGATGAATCCCAGATATTTTAGCATTTTATATTATTTTCAATGCAATTATTCGAAATTCACGGACCTATGGAAGGACTCCTGATATTGCCAGCATTTATATAAAGAAAAAAAAAGCAAAATCTGGGAGAAAAATCCGCAAACAACTCCTCCCCCCCCGACCCGTAAACCCCTGTATTTTATCTCCGTGTAATTGTAATTAATTGCGGGTGATTATTTTTTTAATATGATTACTGAGTTGTTTGTGATGCCACATGATCTGTAGATAATTCCAAGGGGTAACTAGATGAAAACTAGTGCCTCGTAGACGATTTTTTATGATTGATTGCACATTGATAAATTGATTCAAGGCCTCTCGGATCGATATCTGGGAATGAAAGAAGAGAAATGACTCTGAATTTTGAAAAGAAAAGAAAAACATTAAAAATACGACTAATACTCTGTATCGACTACGTAGTTTGTAAATGAACTGAGGCAATTTAGGACGAAACCTTCGGGGGTTATGACATCCTCGAATCATTTGTACATATTGTAATTAATGGAAAACGTCAATGTATACACTAATGTATATCCATTGACTAGTGAGTATATATATTTATATATATATGCTTGTAGAGTGAGATGGTACTATCTGTATAAAGATTTTAATAACGAATGGTGAAAAAGAGAGCATAATTATCCAGGTCAAGAATTTATATCATGGGAATACCTCCTATTCTTCCATTGGAGTGAAGGAGCAAGAGAATTTAATCCATTTGATGAAATAGTGGGAATGACAGGGAGTCATACACATCATGAATATGCATGGTAATTTGAGAGAATTGATTGAAAATATTCCCAGACCACAATCGTTATGACGACTATGCAGATTTAAAAAAAAAAATATATATATTTACAATCTGCTTTTGAGTGGAAAGTCCTGGTAGACTGAAACTTGGGGGAAAATGTCTAGGAATCGTTTGAAACTCAGTCATGGATGTGCGTTAAACTTGACAGACAAACAATTGGACGTGATTGTGAAATGACAACTAGATGAGAATAATATTCATTTGAATTTGTAAAATATAAAGGAAGTAAGTGAGTGTGTAGTTCTTGTGCATAGTAAAAATGTAAAATGTATGAGAAAGTAAAGATTTAAATTGTGTGATAGATTGTCACAAATCCGCTGTCCGAATCAATGTATTTTATTGTAAAAAAATAATATCACAGACTTGGATTTTTGTAGAGAAATGTGTGAATGAGTTGGTAATGAGGGATGAAAATATTCATGATAAATCACGAGTAAATCTATTGAGATAATGCATAAAGTATGACCTTATATCTATTAGGTGAAAATAGATTTATTATGTAATGGACAAATGATTCGTGGTGAACGATGTGAATGATACATCAGACGATTAAAGAATTATATAAAGGATAATTGATAAGTCACAAGAGAAATCATGATTCTAAATAATTAAGTGGCGTTAAGTAATTGTAAATCGATAAAAAATAATAAGTAGAATGCTATTTGTTTACTAAAAATAATCATAGTTATGAAGCTGAGATGAGTGTGAAGTGAGAGTGTGATAGTAGAGAGTGAGAATGTGCATGTAGTGATAGTGAAAAAATGAGATGGTGACGAAATAAAGAAAACAACTAGTAATGGGTAAATAAAAATACAAAAAACGTATTAATTATTATAAATATACAATTATACAATTTAGGTAACAAAAAAAAACTACATAATATTAGTTCGGTAACGATTTAATTACGATTTATTATTTTATTTTTATTATCATCATTGCCATTGCGATAATGAGAGACAAAAAAAAATAATGTATGAACACACTTTGTGATCCTGTAGCAGGATTACAAAGTTAATTATTGGACAGCATAGTGTTGCAAATGCCAAATCAAAAGAACAGTTAATGTGTGTCATTATTATTTTCTAGTGACTATTAAAACGACATCTCAAAATTATAAAATCCACATTACTGAAACGACATAGAAGCGAACGGGGGTGCCTCAGTTTTAATGGGGCCCAAAGCGGAGAAGGGGTAGGCTTTAAAATAAATGCTGGTGCTGTGCTGTGATTTTTACTAAAAACAATGAGAAAATAAAACTAAAAATAAAAAAAAATGTAATGATAACAAAATGGAGGGACTTACCGACGACGAAATGAAAAAAAAAGCTTTTTATGAAAATATGCAGATAGCCTAAGTACCTGGATCCTGCCCTGCGCTCTCCGCCAGCTACTGGAGTTTAAATAAAATCGAAAATTAATAACAATTGTGTAACGTTTGTATAGGCTGTACAATGTATTTGCTTTGGAAGGTGAGAAAATTAATAAAACGTATAGATTGTTTCAAAAAGTAAATCATTACAAACGGAGAAATGAATCTGTCTCTTGGAAATCGAGTACGTTTTACTATTTTACCCGAAATGCATTTTCTATCGAGTTTAATAAATTCAGCGTAATTAGACGAGTTTAAATTAACGATTGGAAAACAAAACTCTGAAATACGAGATCCACTGGTAAAATTATGATAATTAAATAAGAAAATTGACTGATATCGGTAACATCATTCTGCATCAAATTTATTTTTATTCTGTAGGGTGGAAATAGTAAACCGTTGCGCTTTATATATTACATAACTCGAATATATAAACATGCAATTAACACATTACGTACAGAAGCAAATACTGAAAAACAAGTTAATAAAAATGCAGACGTCTTGTCGTTAAATTGTAAGATATTGTGTTCAGAATCCGGAAATGTACTCTGACCCCTTCCCCCAGACTACTATATATTAAATATATTGTGCACTATGCTCCGACTTGTCCATACAAATAAATATATCAAAAAATCTCACTTCCCTTGTTTCTCCGTTTTTTTTAAATATCTTTAGTCACACGATTTTCCAATTAAATTGCATGACAAATTTAAAAGAAGAGAAGAATTATAAAATCAAAATCATACCTTTTCAGTATCGTAAAGAGATGAGCCACTAATCGAACATGGCCAATCTCATGGGGATAATCGAATATCTGACACTTGATGATTTCGATTAATCGAATAGATAACTGACCATCACGTCAGCTGATTAGCACAGGGTACCGGGCTACAAAAAAATACTATCATAGCTTCATCCATGCTGATATGGACACACGAAAAGTTTTTATCCTTTATCCTTAATATATAAATGAAAGAGACTAAAATAACTCGAAATTCGATAATCTCGAACTCGAATATCGAATCGAAGTCGTATTGCTTGATAACAAGGAGAATTCCAAATTCCAATTGCCTCAACATCGACTCATATCGACTTATATCGATTCATATCGACTTATATCGATTCATATCGACTTATATCGATTCATATCGACTTATATCGATGCATATCGACTTATATCGATTCATATCGACTTATATCGATTCATATCTATTCATATCGACTTATATCGATTCATATCGATTCATATCGATTCATATCGAGTCTAAAGTACTAGTTATCTAAAACAGCTTTTTCAATCCTTCAGTGTGACCCTGTGACCCTTAACCAAGTTCTATTAACCCTTAACATGATTAAGGGTCACATGGACGCAAAAAATTTATGTGATTCCATAAAATTTTAAAATTTCAGTGAATATCAATTTCGTAACGCCGAAAATAACATTCACCCTGTCAACTGGTCCCTCTGATAGCGGGACTGTTACTAAAGCAGTTACTGAGTCGACTGACGGGCAGACACCCCCATTGCGTGTGGCGCCCTCCCTCTTTTGGGGTGCAGTACTACGATGCCGCTGGGGTCGCTCCAACCCCCAGAACTGAGCCTCTACTTTAGTCAATCCTCTTTGAGGTTAAAAATCCCAACGCTTCCTTTAGGCCTTTGTTTCTCTATTTAAATACACATTTATTGTAAAATATTTTCAATGTGTATCGAATGAAAATATATAGGGTGATAATAAATTTATCAACACTCAACAAATTATTATCATCACCAACCAATAGCAACAATTAGAAACAGAGATGAACGCAGTCGATTGCAAAATAGATTCCAAAGCACCGGTGTTAGTAACCCACAAAATATCCAAAATCCTGGAATCAGTGATCAAAACAATAAAATCCGAGAGGGACAAAGATCCATTAAAAATTCCTGAATTAGATGTATTATTTACACAATGTAAAAGTGAAAATGCTGCTGTAAGCTCAGTGGCCTGTCAATCCCTGGTCTGTCTGGTGGATACAGAATTATTAGAATTAACTCTAATTCTATCAAGATTCATCTCAATACTCGGCGAAACGAAGAATTATTTATCAATCACATCAGCAATTTGTGATTTATTGAAATTGGATTTGAGGAACAGAAACTCTAAAGATGAGTACACGTGTCCCTTCTCACTGCAGGCACCCCAGCATCCCCTTATCACTGTTCTCATGCAAAAAAATACAGTATGGAGAGATATCCTTGGGCATATGCAGTCGATGATACACGAGTCAGATCCAAAATTTCTGAAACACTATATCGAACTCCTTCGTCCAGTTTTCGTCTACATCCTCTGCAATCCAACGGATCACCTCCCCGAGAGTTGCAAGCAGCAGGCGTGGCACCTTTTGATCAAATCACCCGAATCAAGCGATTTGCAATTGGAAATTCTCCAACGGCTGTCCACGAAGACCCCAAACTCCTGCATCGACACCAGTAACAGAATCCTGGAGCTCTCTGAATACTCGATCACAGGAAAAAACGATGAATTATGCCAATCACTTGTACCATTAGTTGCAGCAGTAATTTTGGAGCTGTTAAAACACAATTCTGATCCAAAACCCAATATCCTGATGCTGAAAACAATGATAGATTATGCTGATGCTGCAGTGGGTACTACAGTAATGTTTTTATTATCGGAAATAACAGAGATAACTCCCTGCGTGCACCTTCCAAGCATAATCCAAATAGGCTCGTTGATTTTGCAAAAGGGGATCTGCGATGAGATATCCTGCTACGCCTTTTTGTCCTCAATCCTGCCCTGGATGGCATATGCCTGTCAGTTGTCCAGTGAAGGCCTGAGTACTGCAAAACTCCTCATAACATCAATAACATCAAAAACTGACTGGCCGAAACTAGTGGCCCCTACCACTAATAGATTTTCCCCAGTAATCCGGCAGTGCAGCCCCAACTATCAATTCTACGGTACCATCTGTCATCACCTCACTACTGAATCCGACAGATCCACTATTTCGTGGCTCGAGAGACTTCTCCTCACTCCAGGAAACGTCATCCTCACCTTCAAGCATGTGCTGTCTGGTCTGTTCCTGCAGGCAATGAACTCTGAAATTGTTTTGAGAGCATTAAAAGGATTAATAAGGATCGCCAAAGACTCCCCCGACACAGCTCCCAACATCCTCTCCGTCATCCTCCATAAACTGACAAAAGTCAAGGACATTGCAGAGACAAAGGACATTCTTTTTGCTGTACCAGAACTTGCAGTGTCAAAGGAGAACATTCCAACGATAATTCATGTTGTGAAGACTCTGACCTCGTCAGAGCCTGTCCTCAAATACCTGGCAATTGAGCTGTACCTGAAGCTCAGGGAGGTGGAGCCCCGTTGTCATCGTTACCTCGTTTCTGCTCTAATTTCCCTCAGCGATGATGACTCCTCGTTTATGGGGACGGTGACCTGTGCTAACGCCATGAAAATCATCTGCGAGAGATATCCAGAGCATGGGGCAGAGCTCGTTCCCTTGCTTTCTCAGATCTTCAACAGGTGCACAAATCAAACTGGATCAGCTGCGAGTGCTTTGGCCCTTCGAGGTATCTCAGCACTCTGTGTTGCAGGAATAACAGATGTCTACTCAACCTGGCGTGTACTATCCCCCAGGATGAATGAGGAGAGGCGAACTGTCGTCATCAGCAGCATTTGTGAATTCTTCGGGGATGTTCCATCGGCCTCCCCTTATCTCGAGGAAGAGGTCCACGAATTGATGGAGGAGAGCCTGAGAAAATTGTGGTCTTTCGCTTGTCACGAGAATAAAGAAATCGTCAGGGCTGCTTTTCAGGCTTTGGCTTCGTACAAAATACACGATATGAGAGTCGCTTATCTGCCTGTGAGCTTCACCAGTCACTTGTCTAAGTCAGATGAAAAGAAAATAGGAGAAGGGGATCTTCAGAATGTGCAGGAGTTGACGTATGTCCCTGGCTCCTGCTGGATCAAGATGCTGGAGAATATTCGTGGTCAAGCAATGGAAGCAGCTGGGGATTTCCTGATTAAATTTATTACTGAGGAGTTGTATGGGTACAAGAGTGGTATTTACACGTGGTCCATGGGGGAGCCACTCAATTACAAATATCTCCCAGACAAGAGCCTTGCTGGAAGCATTGGAGAGTATTTGAGACGTGCAGCTAATAAGTCCAGCATTCAAGCTGTTGTTGTTGAATGCATGAGGATATTCTCAAAGAAATATCCAAAGGCACTGCCTATTATTCAGTTTCATTTGTTCAATGATGCTATCAATATTTCGGAGGAAACTCGATCCTATGGGGTCTCATTGGCCTGTCATCAAGCAGCTGTTTCACCATCAGCTAAAGAGTACCTCAGCAAATTGCTGGGAGAAGTGAGTGATTGTAACTCGATGAATTCTGAGGAGTTCCAAAAAGCCTGGCATCTCTGCACACATCTAGAGGACATCTGTCGTAGCGCATCGTCCAGTGTGTTGGGCCCGTTTCTGGAGGCGATAATCAATTGTATTGTTGAGAGGGCCATTGTCAACAATGAGAATGCTGTTTCTATGTTCAATGAGGTCATGAAGAGATGTGCCAATGTTTTGCATGATGATCTTGTTCTTCACGATAATAAGACGATAATTGGGAATATTTTGGAGAGATTGGGAGAGAAAGTCGATGTTGATCATAAGATTTATCAGAGTATTGTTGGGGCAATGCTGGCATTGCCAACGGAGCAGATTGAACGGATGACTCTACCTAGTGTTTGGGAGGAAATAACGACTGAAAAGCTGGAGAAGGCTATTGAAATCCGGGGGGGATTGGTGTTAAAGAGGGATAATGAGATCCCTTTGAGCTGGATGAATGAGATATTGAGGGTTTCCTCGACTCTGCCGAGTGTGCACGGACGTTTGCTCAAGACTTTGCAGCGGATCTTGAGGGATTTGAGGCATGAAAAGTCGAATGCTGATTGGACGTGGAGCCTGATGTACAGAATTCAGGTCACGATTCTCGGTACTGATGATGACCAAGCCATCAAAGTTGCTGAATTCATGTGTGACGCACTATTCGTTACGATAATTGTCTTGGCTTGTGATGATTGTTTGCTGAGAGATGAGGGAGCAATTGCCACATCTAGTGGGATCAGGGGGGAATTGTTTCCTCATGCTGTTTACAGGATTGTCCAGATGCCTGGCTGGAAGAACATCACGCAACAGGTACTTTTCTAGAACGACGAGAGACTTAATTTAATAATTCGATAATAGATTTACAAATTTGAAGTGGTTGAATAATATTAATCAGTAATTGATTTTATAATTTTGAAATTCTTATTTTTACAGATTATAGAATGGCTACATGTGGTCAGATCGAGTTGTCTATCTGCAATGTACAAAAGTATCTTTCATAATGCCTTAAGTTCACTTAAAAACGAAAAGTATTTAAATGAACAGTGGACGAGATACTTTTCTGTTAAGAGTCCATTGAGTATTGTGGTACCTTCGAACGACTAGATTTTCGGTGTTCGTTGGAATTGCATTGAGTTACGGTGGGTAATTATATTATTAATTATCAATCTCTCTCATGACTCCAACGAACCTCATAAAAAAATGTTTTATCGTTGAATATTTTAACACTTAATGTTTTTATATGATTTTTGTTTGAAATAAATAATTTTTTTTATAGTAATCCCCCTTCTTTCTTTTTCTGATACAGAAAAACCGATCGTAATCAACTCATGCCGAAAATATTTCATCCAAAGAGTAAAAACCTTCTAGACAAAAAAAAATTCGCATCATGAGTATTTGAAATAACGAAATATTCTCGTATTTACAGTAAATTAGTGAAGACAAAAGTCTAGTGCATGGATTATGCTAATATTTATGTCCAAAGAATGAAAGACTAAACTTTTGTCTCCAATTTTCGCCTATAAAAATTATGCTTGCGATGTATGTTTTTCAAATGAACACTTCAAATGAAATTCAATAAATAATCATTTGCTCGTCACATGTGTTGAATGTGACGATTCTCATAATGCTAGACAGTCGTTTCCGTGTTATCCAGAGCCATTACTGTCAACGTATTGGGACGGGATCCAGTTAGGATCTGGTCCTCAGGTGGTCTCATCTTCGGCTCCAAAATATTCCTCTTTGTCTCGACATTTTTCTTGATTGGCGTACGACTGGGACTGGATTTTCTGCTGCTGGGATATGATTTCAAAAGTCTCGCAGCATCCATCAGTTTGAGATGCAGTCGAGAATAAGCTTGATACTCCTCGTCAGTGAATTCCGTTGGGTCGTGTCGGGCGTGCTCGTAAAAATCACAGAACTGATGGATCATCCTCTGGCCACTTCCATTGAGAGGGGCTGCTAGAGTCGTAAGGAGATATGCACGAAGATTCTCGCTTGCGTGTCGTTTCAGGCAATTGTCGTACTTCGTTATTTCCGATTCTGGCTCAAATAAAAATTCATGACAGCAGAGAAAAATTTCATTAACAAAATAAATATTAACAAATCCATATTTTTTTACATCTCCCAATTTTTCTACGAAATTTGAAGAAGAGTTAACGTTTTGCTTCCACAGCGTGTGGAAAAATACAAAAATACAAGAGAATAGTGAAATAATTACTGTTAAATAAGAAATTATCGATGATCGACATGAAATTCTCTTATTATTTCTCACCAAGAGCCTTGACATCGTCCACAGCCTTCAGTCTGTAATAATGGGGGGGCACCTGGCTCCCAGGCTCCATTATGTACCTGGAGTCACTTATCAGCTGGGGTTCATATTGAATCCTAGGAATGACTTCGATTCTCCGCTGGATTTCCCTCTTCAATGACTAAAAAATTCAAATTGTTATTTAATAGTAATATTTATTTAAAATTACTTAACCTCAATGATTTCCTCATTACCTTCTTAGCATCATGTCCAATCGCAATGTGAGGACCTCTTCGGGATCTCAACGCAAACCTCATTATTTGTCTTTTTGCAAATATAAACAATAATAACATTGTTAACACGCCTGTTGCGATGAATATAACAATAGTAACACCTGACAGTTCCTCCGTCATGTTGACAAAGATTGTTGAGGCAATCAGCTGTTTTGTTTTATCGACAGGGGTAAGTGCTCAGTGGAGCGAAAATTTAAAACAATTATTATTGATTCTCTAATTAAATAATAATTTATTTGAATTTGCAGTACAATAGCAATATCTCGTGACTTTTATCGAGTTTCAGGATAATGTGGAGCGGAAAGTCAAAAGTCGTAACAATTTAATTTTTCCCGTAAATTCTGAATTTTTAATTACAGGATAAAATGTTTTCAATCCATTATTCTGTTTAAGAAATATGCCACATATCTCTATGACGAAACATTTTGTCGAACAAATTCTTCATTGGTTTTTTGAAAACTGTTTTATGTGTGATTATCATCTCATGCAACATATTCCTCTGGTTATCGGTGAATGGGGACTGTGTCTTCAGGAGTGATAATATGCACTGGCTGTAGTTCTTGTCATCAGCATAAGCCAGTGCTTTGTCAACCAAAAGCGACAGGATTCGAGTCATTGTGTCTTCATCGAGTTGAATATCGATCAGAGATTGCAGGACTGTCACGTGCCAGGGCTGAAGCTCATCGACAGCTTCAAGGAAATCACTAGAATTTTTAAATCATTATAAGAAGTCAATAGTCTTCTGCTCATTCAAAAATTCCTGAGACAAATCTCTGACTATTTCAGAAACTTACGATATGAGTTCTTTTTTCGCGGATGGGGCGTAGCTCTTTATCAACATCAAAATAATTTTAGTATTCTTCAAATTGGCATTGAACAGGGGAACTACGAGGCATTTTCTCACATCATCCGGGAACTTCTCAGCCATTTTTGTTATCGTTGACAAGTCAACACGATTTGAATTTTTCTCCAACTGCAGCATCTACGAGAAGAATCATAATTTTCGAAGAGAAAAAATCAAAAGTACTTGTAAAAAGTCATGAGTGGTTTACCTTTTGAAATAGTAACTTTGAGCACATGATCCTGGCGTAATAAGTTCCCAGGCCCGTCTCCATATCGCAAATCGAGCAACAGAAATTATAAGAGCCCCTGGAACTCAGTCTCTTCGCCAAATTCTCAACGATTTCTATGGCATTCGCATCAGTCAAATCATTCATATCTTCAGCATCCAGGCATCTTGCTTCCAGGATCTCCAAAAGCGACTTGATGATATCTGATGGAGATCTCGTCGTGAATTTCGTCGAGGGAGAGCAATTGTTCTCCTCGAGTTTTGTCTGAGTGAAATAGAATTGAGTGGACGGCAATTCCACGTCATCATTATCAGGTTCTTCAAACCTCTGAGAGGATTTACTACCAATTTCTATAGGATCATCTTTCATGGGATTCCTGGAAATGTCAGTCTCGTCCTGAAAATTTTGCCACAATCCGCGAAATTCGATCAAAATTTGACTTCTTTTAAAATAAAAAAATTGACAAAGTGTCGTATCGATTTTTACGAAAGACAATCATCAAACTAATTCTGTTTTTACAGCCAATCAATTTCTTTTTAGAATTATTTTTATTATTCTAACCTCAACTTGGAATAGTGTCTTCCATTTGTTGTCGGAGGACCCTGGACTCCCCTGGAGGGCCTCCCTGACACCTTTTACCTTCTCTATTGTCTCATTCGATAACTTATACCTTCCAAAAAAGTCATCCTCCATTTTTCATGGCCCTTTCGATTATAAAAAAAGCAAGAGCAGTCGATTTACGAGGAAATGAAGACATGAGGACTGTTTCCACTACTCGACTGTCATCCAGAACCTTCAGGTTTGAATCCTCACGTTTCCTCGTCGGGACTCTCAAGATCAGAGAGAGTCTTTTTAAATATCTTGAGCTTTGTGTTCAAGTCGTGAAGTGTTTCAATTTTGCAGACTGTCTGATTTAAATCAGGGAGAGTGGTTTGTGCAGCGTAGATTTTCCTCAGATTCAACCCCATCATTTCCATCTGGACCTCTGCCAATTCTCGTAGGATCTCAACAGAAACTGCCATGTAACATTGAGGAGTGATTTCTCGGAGAACTGCACTCAGGGTTTCCAGAGCATCTGCTCTCAATTTGTGTACTGCATATTGACTGAAAATTGATTAGACAAATGTCAAAGAACTTCTGCTCAGTCTAAATTATTCACGTAGAGTTATTATTCCATTTTGAAATAATAACTCTGAGATAAATCTTTGACGTCTACCTTTCGATGTCTTCCTCGTAGAAAGCGAGATATCTGTATAACTCATTCAGATCCATGATGGTGTTGACGTACTCCATGGGATGTTCTTGGAGTGTGTAAAAAAGTTTTACTCGTTTCAGCCACGTGTGGGTATGATGGAAAAGAATTCTAGCTTCTTCTGTGCTGTCTATCAATGATGCTGGAACTCCATCTTCGTATTCACTCAGTTCAAGCTTTTCAAAGAGCAGGAGTGGAGGAGAATGACAATCAGATGCTGAAGATTCATTCTCGTCAATGCTCGAGAGAGTTCTTTGCGATTTCATCGAGTCTCTGAGTGCGTCATGTTTATCATCAATCGCTTCAGTTTCTGCTGTCTTGGGATTTCTGAATGGCGGATCCCAGAGTTTTGATAACATTTCAGTTGAGTCATGGCATAAATGTTGTAGGACGTTCATTTTTGAAGTGCTGAAGAGGGTCAGACCGTATTTCACCCAACAGTTCGCCACATCCGCTAATTTTCGATTAATTTCTAGACATCTTTTGGGACAAATGGATTATTTTACTTCTTTCGCTAGTCTGATTTTTGCATTAATATAATTATTGGTGTTCATCGGAAATTTTATTTAGAATTAATGATTTATTATACTTTTTTCTGTTTCTTGTTGTTTTTTTAAATTACAGTACTAATATTGATTGATATTTCTATTCGAAGGAAAATAATTTACGAAATTCCTACTCTTGAATGATAAATTTGATAATTTTTGCGAGATTACGATTTTGGGGTGGGATCACTGCTCGACTCCAATGATTTCGAAATTTCCTCATATCTGCTGAGAATTTGACTGGCAGCTGCCAAATGGTTTCTCGCCTCCCTGAAACTCTATTTATAATAAATAAATTCTACAAGTGTGTAAAGAGAAAAATCTTGGGGATTATCACTTGAATCGACCCTTGGCCATGAAGACACACGCGAGTTTCGAGGACTTGATCGCCCACATTGGCAGTTCATCACCAAAAATGTCAAATTGCCTCTCCAGAACCCCGTGCTGACATTCAGCAAATTTTTCATGCATCTCGAGCTTCTCGTAGATGATGCTCAGCATCGCCAGGTTGTTAGTAACTAATCGCTCAAGTTTATTACAGGAATCCGAAGGTGTCGCAGTTATTTCGTCGGAGAATAATTGTTCGGTGGTGAAGAATGGAATAGACGAGTTTCTTAATTTTGCTTTTCGATAGATTGAATCTCCCAGCTCTAAAATCTTTCGAGCCTCGGTGTTATCCTCACGTTTCATCAGCAGATAGGAGTAATGATTGATAATCCTGAGTGCTAGGAAAATAATTTCACTGGCTGACAGGAATTCGTTGATAGCGAGAAGACAAGAAGCCAGAACTTCTTCTGCCAAATTTTGTTTATCTTCGCAGACTAGTCTTTTCGATTTCTCATAGAGCAATGTGACTTTCATTGCTAGTAATCGAAGATTTTCGGAGAGGGGGAAAGTTTTAATTAAGTTATCGACTCTCTCAGCTCCTTCGTCTATTAATGTATGAATTTTTTCAAGTCCTGGATCTTCAATATTTTCATTATTTCTTTCTAATTTCTGCAGACCCCGGATTTCAGCGTAAATGTGACTCAAGATTTCGTAATTTGCCCCAAGAATTTCCATGATTTTTATTTAAAAATATTATTTCTCACGCATTTTTTGAGATTTTGTGGAAGAAACAGGAATTCTTCACAATTTGAAAAAATCAGACTGATTGTTTTTTGATAAAAAAAATTCAGGAAATGTGGGAAATCATCAGAGATGACTCTTTGGGGCTTTGATGTGTTGAACTGGATACTTCGAGTTCGACTAACTTCAGAGTTTGTCAACAAAACGAGAATAAAATGTAAAAAAAAGGAGAATGTTAGAACGAAATAGAAATGAAAAATTATCAATGAAGCAATGAAAATGTTTCTGTTGCGATGACTTGAATCTCAATTTTTTTATCTTTGTACCAAGTAAACATACACAGTTTGTACGTTCAGCATAAAAATCGTTTACTACTTTGAACGTTCAATTAAACGGACAATAAATTTCTCAGCCATTTATTCACTCGTTCCTCATCAATCTCACTCACACTTGACTACTGAATATTACTTACATCTTGACTTCAATCTCTAAGTTGTTTCTTCTCTCGTTTTATTTTTTCGTTTCATAGCCTTGTTAATGCAAGTTTGGACATCAAGGATTTGTAAAAAAATACATCGCAAATAGATCAACGGATTAGTCTGAAGGATCGGGATTCAGAGAGCCTTCAATCATCAAATTTCATACTTTTTTTTTCTCTCCCTGTGAGCGAATTCTGTGATCATTTTATTGGCGAACGGAATCAATGTGTCTGAAGATGAAGTGGTTGAGATCATTTAATGTAATTTGAATTTCTCCATTAATTGCCCATTCAATTCAGAAACAATCGATTCAATATTATCAAATCCACAGATTAAAATCTCTTTTCACTGATCTAAAGTCAGAAACTTTAGATGATAAACCATCTGAACACAGATTGGAGGGACTTCGATTTCAATTCTTCAAATTATCCCCAGAAGCCACATTTTTTCACTCAAACGACATTGAAATGTTCCTATTACTCATTCAATATTTTTTTTACCCCTCGAACATTCCTGATCGTTCAACCAACCGCTGAAGAGTGAAATCGAATTGAAGTACATCGTTTTTAAGATGAAAAGCCGGCAAAACACTTGAATTTTATTTTTTTTTTGAACAATCAAAGGATTTATTTATTTACTCATTCATTTACTTTGTTTTATCCTCGAGTTTTCACTCCATTCTCAAGCGATTAAAAAATATGGTTTGTCGGCCCAGATAATGCTCCGGGCCCAAGCTCTTTTTCGCTCATTATTATTCATCAGTTAAACTCGATGTGTGCAACAGCAATGATCTCTCTTCCTTTTAAATATTAACTGTATACCAACTTAACTATTACTTGTTTTTATTAATTTAATATTAATTTACAGTGAGTTATGGTATCGAGTTTATTTATTTTTTTAAATTCATTTCTGCTGTTGCGATGGTTTTACAGAATGAATTAAGAGGAAACTACTCGCGAACTATTGGAATTAAATTTCTCTCAGACATTGGGAATCGATTGTGCATCCAAACAACTAATTCGTGGAAGCAAATAATTGTTTATTCCTAATCTGTTACAATAATTTTCAATATGTCAGAATAACTGCCAATTTTTCCGTTTATTGTTCCTAAATCGCAGAATTTTTTTCGTGAAACATTTATATCAACGAAATCAAACGAATAAACAATTTACTTTCTTGCAATAGATATTTGTTATTCACAATCGATCATGAACACATGAAAAACGTCCCAGCAATAGTCCATGAGTTTTAAACGTCAAAGTGGTCTCCCCTCAATTGAATTTCAATTGGAAAAGGAAAAATCAATACAGCAAGTGATCGCGTGATTCGAGGATTTAACACTTACGACACTGATTATTACCATTTTTAATCAGAGATCCGTAGACGGCTCTCATATTTGCAATAAATTTTAAAACATCTATGGATAGCTTTCGATTGATTCGCAATCTTGAGGCCGATAGAACAGAAAGAAACATCTATAATACTTATGTATATATAGACAGCATTATCATAATCAACGACTTCATTTATACCCTGTGCATCACTTTAAAACGTCCAATTTACTTTTTTTAATCATCTCCTTTGTATGTCTCATCATTAGCTCATCGACACCAGTGAGTCTCGAGAGCAATCGACGATTAATCCCCTTATTCTGAGAAAATGGTTAATCTCCATTACAATATGGCTATTCAAATGTAATTATTTATATATTTATATTTATATTTATATTTATACATATATATCTGTTTCATCTTCATTTAATCTTTAGATCTATATTTATGATTTATTATAATAAAACCGATGCATAATTTTACAGCGACATTACAGCTTCAATGGATGTTATTTCATTTCGTATTGGATTTTCGTACATTTATCACCTCCATAGGATGAACAATACATATGGGAACAATAATTTTATTCTCAGATTAATCTTTTACACTTTAATAAATCAATCCGCATTTATGCATCAGTTGTGGGTAAATCGCGATTACAGTAACGGATTCGTGGAAAAAAAAACGGAAATTAGAATATTAATTATGGCATGAAAAACGTAACGTAACGCGATATTAATTCACAGTAATTATGCAATTTTCGTGATGATGAATCTACATCATCGTCACTGGTTTAGAGTTCATTAGTATTTAGTACTTTTTTCATCGTTCAGGGAAGGAAAAAGTGTAAAATTGATTTATCTTTATGAAATACTTGTCAGAGTCGATGATGAAGATCACTCCACTCAATTTCACAATAATGTAATTGCTCTTTAAATTCTTGTTTGGTTTATCACGTGACAATTAGCCGTCAATGACAATGATAACAACATCAATGGAGAAACGCCAGGGAGATTATGCGAATAAAGTGAAGATGTGTTGTACATTGTGTTACAGCTCAAGCTGTTTCGATTGATCACACTAGTTTGAAACTTGCATTATTATTATTTTTTTCATTTATATATGTATATTTTCTTTATTCTCATTAGCTAGATTTAAAAATGCACAATTATGCATTTTATTTTTGGCGGTATCGGCCATTGAACCTTATTTAAAATTCGTTTCATTCGAATTGATCTAATTTAACTATTTACAACGACCGCTGGATAATTAGAGATCAGTGAGATGCCAGTGCCAATGCTGTAATGGACATTTTTTTTTCAAATCAATGAATACCCAAATTATGTTGGTTGAAACCAATTAATTGCATATGAAAAATTTTATATTCATACGGCAACAAATTGTATGCAGAAAAGAAAAATATTCTTTTGCTCGAGGAATATTGCAGTGGAGCAGTCCCTGCATTAATATAATTTCACTCTAATTTAATTATGTCAGATCAATGCAGTGAGGAGTAATTTCTTTAACTTCAGGGCCTGCCCCTCTAACATTACCCCAATACTCACGAAATCACTTCCACGAGGAAAGAAAAGAAAATTAATAACTAATGATAATGATGAATTCGATGAAGTTAAGCGTTTTCAAAAGGCAATATAACAATATAACAACAACAATAACAACAACGTATAAATTCAGGAATAAAACACCGTACGGTTGCTCAATTGCACACTCGTTTAGCACCCAAACTGGCCTTAAAAAATATTATATTCCGTGGCGTTTAAATACCGATGATACTAATCTGCATACATTCTCCCAATGATCCACCAGTGCACACCCTACACCGGAGAGTTTAATAAAAAACTTGAGCATAAATCGTACTTATCAATTGACATTGATACACCCTCCCACCAATTGACAAATCTCACTGACCTCTAATAAAAAAAAAAAAGAGAAGAAAAAAACGGAAAAAACGAAAGAGAAAAATTATATAATGCACTTAAATCCTGTCAAAAATCGGCAGGATTATTATAATTAAACACCAACCAAATGCAAACGATATCCGTTGCGGAGGTGGACTAGATTTAATTCTAGATAAGAAAAAAAAAATAGTGTTATAAGGGGAATATTTCTCCTTACAACCGAAAAAAAAAGAAAAAAAAAAAGAGAAAACCTAATAATTGTATTAATGCCAGAACGTATTTCATACAAATCAACGGATAAATCAAAAAGTGAAAAGTAAAACAATGATGGATTAATAATGAGAAAAATTGTATAAGTGTAAAAATACGTAGAAAATGTAATAATTCCAGGTTTTGACAAATGGTAAAAAGGTATTTTAAACACATATATAATTTTGCATTTGCTCAGTAAAATTATCCAATAATTATCATACACCGTCATAAGCAAGGTCAACAGGTGGTCTGTGATGGGACTGAAGGTATGAAGGTGGTGTTGAGTGACCAGTGGGTGAATTTGTTGCACTGGCATAACTAGCACCAGGATAATTGGGACTTGGCGCATGTATACCACCAGGTGGTGTTGGATAACTATCGAATGAACTTGAATAAGAGGTATTGTATGGATATGGATTAGCCATGTGTCCAAGTGACGGATGCATACCACTCATACCACTCATACCATAAGTACGTTGCATTAAACTTGATTCAAGGCCACCAAAGAGATAGCCATTTGTCGATCCCATTGTTGGTACTGGATAATGGGGTCCTGGAATAATATTAGTGTAATTGCCCGATTGATTCATACTAGGTGTATAATTACTCGATGCTAAATTTTCGACAGTGTACGATTTACTGTGCTGCTGCTGCTGTCCCTGCTGTACATCCTGCCTTCCATTACTATAAATACCATAATTATCACCACCGTACAAGTGTGTACCTGGATAAACACCAGTGGTACTCAATGGTGGACTGTAATTACTCATTGATTGTGTATTAAAACCAAGATACGACTGATGATGCTCGAGTTTGTCATTCATACCATCATCAGACATACCACTTTGTGAATGTAAACGCTGATTACCACCATCAGTTATACTGGGTATTTGATCGACAAGTGATTCTAAATCACTGAGACTCTTTGATGCAACATCCTGATTTGCATTGCGCTTCATACCAAATTGTTCGTGTGGATGGGGTGACATTGACGTGTGTGTTGGTGTATGTGAATGATTGAGCGGTGGTGTCTGATGTGAATGATGCGAGTGCTCTTCAGTACTCTGACTCATTCCCGTTGGTGTTGTTTGGTGTTGATGGCCAGTGTGTGATTCTGGTGTTGATTGATCGTGAAAACCCATATAACTCGTATAACTCGAGTGAGATGGTGTATCAGGACTCCCATGATGCACTGAATCACCACTCGTTTGATTGTATTGACGATGGTTTGTTAGATTTTGGGAGATACTCGTTGGTGGCTCAAAGTCTGGATGTTCAACACTTGGTGATGTTAATGGCGATGGCTCGAGATTGTTCTCTGATGATATACCAGTGTTTATTTCAGACGATAGGTCTGAGTGGGTGAATGACAGGGACATTGACTTTGGACTCTGGCTGTAGTGCTGCTGCAGATGCACTGGACTGTGCTTTGAGCTTATGTTGTAAGGGCTATCGTTCATTGTTTGTCCATAAAAATTGGAATCACTCAATTGTTGGGGATAGGGCGCCATGTGGGCGAAGGGCTTTGGTGGTGAAAAGCAATTTGGCAAATTTCCATAATCACTCATGTGCCCCATTGAGGCATGATGGTGCTGCTGACTTTGATTCTGATGATGTAGCTGCTGCTGCTGTTGGACCTGCTGGTGATGTTGCTGCTGTTGTTGCTGTTGTTGTTGCTGTTGCTGCTGCATCAGTTGATCTCTTGTCTCTCGCTCCTGCTGCTTCTGCTGCTGATGAATTTTCTTCGGTCTTCCTCGACGTTTTTTCACTATTTCACCATTACCATCCAACTTCTCTGGCTCTGGCTGAGGCATATCTTCTGGATTCTTTATCTTCTTTGGCCTACCACGTTTCTTTTTACCCGGTATCAATCCCTGATCCTTCGAGTCTAATAATCGACTCTCACCCTCAATATCATCCGCAAATAGCTTCTTCTCCTCCAGTGCATCGTGCTCGCGTTTCTTTATTTTTGTATCTGCGAATACAATGTCAGATTCTTCTATGTGAGTGATTGTGCCGTTTAGGTAATCACGGAATTTCTTCAGGGCGGCGTAGTAAGGAACTTTGTCGGCTGCACGAGGTAATTGGGCGCATCTTGCACTGCTCGAAGGCATCACCCACATGTACTGCAAATTCATCATTTGTTTAAATTTTATTTTCATCACTCATTTTTGGTGGCAATGATTTTTTCATTAAATACTCACTGTGTCTGTGCCCTCGACGAAATTCGGTTGCCTACCAAATCCAAACTCCTTTTTACCAGAAAATACTTCGTAGATGAGTTTACCATTGAATACTGCTATTTTTGGCTTGTACTTTTTCAATTTTTCGAGTAATACGTGACTACCTGCAACGAGAAATACTCATTTTACGAATCAATAAGATATTTTTACAATTTTTTCAATACATTCTGCAGTGATTTGTTATTATTTTTCATTGCAGTGTTATAATACCCTATTTACCTCAACAAATAGTAATTCGAGTAATGAAGTCATTTGCTGGATGTTCATTAAATTACTTTGGGGGATTGACGAAAAAAGATAAAGATGTAGAGTGAGGGTGCAGAAGTTCTGGGGAACGTAGACATCGGAAATGACGGTGAGGGTCAGTTTGTCGGATAAATGGTGTCAGTAGCCGCGGGATAGTTTCGAGGCCAGCCTCGAGTTCACTTTCAGTAAATTGTGTTCGACTACTTTGAAATTCCGAGGAAACTCGGTTATAGGGGATGAAGGGTAGAGATCTTTGGTGCTAAATCACTGGGGAATAGTTTAATACTTCGGCGAAACTCTCTCTTTGATTACATTGTTACAATTCAAGTAATAAATGTTTGTAATTAGCAAATTAAGCTAAATTGTGTAATAGATAATTGGTATAATAATAGATAATTGGCATTTTCATGAAGTTCAAATAGTTTTATAGATTTTATTGAGATTGAAAAGTGAAGAAATAATTTTTCTTTTGGATGTATATTTCGTACTATTCTAGAGCAATTAATTATTGTACTGACCTTCTTTAATTTCTTTCCTCGTGAGGTCTGCACTGCCCTTCGTCGCACGTGCCACCATATTTGTAAAACCAATACCCAAACGTAACAGCTTGAAATCATCGTCCGCTGTCAGTGGCTCCGGTGTTAAGCCACTCAGGTGCAGACATTTCCCTGATAACAATAAATTTAACAAATTATGGGTTATTATTTTGATAACGAGCCAACAACGCTATTTTTTAACATTTTTACAACTCTATTTTCCCAACGCGTCAACATCATCACTCGGAATTACCCAATTTTTCAATTTTCTGGATAAATTTTACATTTTTTGACATCCATTCTTTAAAAATATGGGATTGTTGCTGACGAATTGACAACGCAAAGACGTGGAAACGATTGACCCACAGTGAACAACATAAAATAAAATGTCTAAATCGAGTTAGTGAAGAAGAAAAAGGAAAAAAGGGGGGAAAAAATCCAAATGATGCGCATAGTTTGGCAAACTGAAAAGTAGGAGACAAACTTTTCAGTGAGAGTATGGAGGGAAATGGTAAGGGTAGTTGGCACAGAAATTTTCACGAGTTTCGAAGTAAGACGTTATATGCAGGGGTTGTTGCCTTGGGATGGAGTAAGAAATAGTGAAGGAGTGTAAAATTGTCGGATGAGTTGGGGGGTTATACAAGGAATTTATGACGGTAACTCTGGTAGGTTGGAGAAGGGGTGCAGTTGAGAGAAGTAGCAACTACCCCACGACTCACTAAAGTAGGGAGAAGCGAATGGCCCCGCGACCTTGGCTCAACTTTCCAACAAAGTTGACTGGTCGAAAGGATAGAGAAGCACACAATCACTCTCTCTATCTCTGGATATTTTTCACTGAATTGCACCGATTGAAATTGAGAGTATATCATAAAGATGATCCTATCAGCTCGCCTGCTCATCCAGCCACTCTACCCTACATTAAACATTTTTTCCTCAATGATTTCTCGACTGAAAAATCGGTCAGTCAATTAACATTGATGATTCACTACATTAACAACACTTTTTAAAAAATTAATTGATTATCTTAACTAACAGAGACCATTTTTTTAAACAATGTGAATCCCCTAGGGGATTTTGATGAATTGAGGCTCGAGGTGGATGCCAGGGTTAGTATTTTTTTGTAAAATCAAGAGATTTAGCAGCAATACAGCAATTCAGTTAATCGATTCCTAAAGATTTTCATGAATTTACCAGATGATTTGGAAGGAAATTTGGAGAGATTAAAAAAAATGAGTGTCGAATGCCGAGGGGTGCGAGTTCAGGAATCCAGGAATTGTTCACCAGGTTTTTTCTCTTTCCAGTGCAACACCAACCTGGAGCAACCAGAACTGATGGGACACGGATGATGCATTGACCCACATCAACGAATCGAGGAGCAGAGGGAAAAAGAGGAGATAATCCTGATAAATTTATAATCTATGGAGTTTATTTTTCATTCTGTTATTTGATGGGGATGGCAATGCGCCGGTCAGGTTTTGAAACGAGAACGCAGGTCGATGGTAACCTGTACGCCCAGCGTCGTTCCAGACACCGAGGAGTTTGGCCGCGCCTGGAAAATCAATTTTCAGTTGTTAGGGAAATTATATCCTGAACAACTATCTCAATTGCGGAGTTTGTCCGGGGTTCATCATTTACTGGGGTTTATTTACGTTTGCTCGTGGAGTCTCGATGAGTTTAATCAGCGGTGACGGATTCGGGATGTTTTACATTTGGATCGAAATTCTCGTGACAAATTCCAGAAATTTTTGTCGTGTTGCAAATCCACTGGATTTTCACACCCTGCCGCCGATGATTCAGTATCTCACGGGAAAATAGAAAACTGGAATTTCTTTGCTTTATTTCCCTCCGAAGATGAGTAGAAAATTAGAGAAAAAATCGGTAAATAGATTCTTGAATCTTGAGAACAATGACAAGGAACGCTACTCGGAGGGAAATAATCCTGAAATTTTACGAGAATTCATAAAAAATTCACGAAATCTCGTCTCACGAAACGCTGGAACTTCAATTTACAATTAAGTCTGAATTTTTTTGTCTATCCTTTCGCAGAATTCAGTGGAGAATTGCTAATTCTAATGCTATTTCAAGTATGGCATTTATCAGTCTTGAAAATTATTAATTTATTTTGAAAACTATTCACTTGAGGTGAAAACGGTAGTGAACTTTTTTGTAGCCGATGAAATTTCCAACAAAAAAGTCCTCTGATATTTTTCCCTAAAATCGAGAGATTCTGAGATAAATCGATGAATCGACCTTGTGCGTTAGTTGAAAAATCTTTGCCATGGAATTTTGGTGATTTTGAATTTTGGGACTGGATAATTTCGGATGGTTTAATTTAGCCAGTGTATTTTTGAGATCTAAAGCGCAGGGCAGGAAAGGAGTAAAAGAGGGCCTGGTGAACATGGACAAAGCTGATATCGAGCGACTAGTGCTGGCGTCCTCCTCCGGCAAAGCTCGTCGCCCTTCGACCCTCGTCGCCCTCGCCCAGGATTCCCTTTTTACCCCTCCACGTGACGTCCATCTCCCTACAACGATTCGAGGGTGAATCGTGACGGCTGGAACGAAAGGTCCCGGAAACCAACAGAGAGAGGTAAATCCTCCTTTGATGCTTTCCCATCTTCTGGGGCCACAGAACATCACAAAAGTGCCAAAGCGGATGGTTTTCCGAGCACTCAGCACTGCGTCTCCAGTCTCTCCATTTTACTCCTTATTGTCCCTTTTTTTTTATTTCAGTTTTATGGAATTATTTGGACTACTTACGAGAACGAGAAGATTCTCCCAAATTCAAGAAATTGCTGGCAAGTCAGATTGCAAGTTGTAAAATAAGTCCATGAAAGAATATTGACATTTTGTCTGGAATAAAAGAGGATGACCTGTTTTGCTGGAGTTTTTTTTTTACCAGAATATTGCCGAAATGAATCTCATCAACTGAAAAGGTCGAGTTAGTGCTCATTCGGGATCCAAGTTCCTTGGCCTTTTCATTACACCACTTACAAGTTACAGCCCTCAATCTCATCAAGTCCTCAAGCAGGAAGAGATGGTCGATGAATTAAGGATATCCAAGTGGCTATCAGAGTTTGGTATGGACCATAGTGTGGATTGTACGATTCAATTACAAAATTTGTCAATTAAATCACTAGAAAAAATTTGGAGAAATATTGAAGAAATGTCGATAACTTCAAATATTCGATCTTTCATTGCACCAACTCCTCTGCAAAAATATAAATTGCCCACTGTTGTTATACAAATTTTGAACGTTGATTCTCCGAATACTATTCATCGCAGAATTGCTAAAATTATCAAATCTACTGAGACTCTGATATTCTCCGATGATTTTAAGTAAAAGCTCTGATATTTATTCACAAAATCGAAGAATCCTACCCTAATTAAAGACTCCCTTCATAATTAAAGCCATCAAATCCTCCAGCCAGCCAATACCTCCACCCTCAACATTCGACATTTGTCTCCCTAAATAATTCCCTAGAATTTCAGAAAGACGATTTTCTGCCAAAAGTCCTGGTGAGAAAGTTGATCCCGGACAAGCAACGGAGCGAATCTCTCGTCACATTCACATGAGTGAGAGAAGAAAAAAGAAAGAAAAGGGCAAAAAGAAAAGTGAATTACAGCAGTTGTCTCGTTGAACGAATCCTCGGATCTGCCAGATAAGAGTGACAGTCCCTCTGTAGCATCCAACATTTTAACCCCCTCTTCCTCCAGCTCCAGGATTTTTATTCCACATCCAACTCTCGACGCTCATTATAGTTAACTCTCTCTCTAACCACTCGTTCGCCCGTTCTGCCCTTTTTACCAGCCCTGCCACAACCCTCCACTTGCCACTACGGAACTATCGAACCCCCGGGAAAACCCTGGAAAATCGAGCCCAGCAGCAACTGCCATGACTTTTTTTTCATCTCACTCACTCTGATTCTCTCCATCCACTCACAAACCCACCACCCTTTTTACCCTCACTCAGATGTAGAACGCACGCACGCGTATGCATGCATAATGGCTCCAATAGGTACCGCAAATTGTCCGATTAGGGATCAACTTGAAAAATATATGGATAGAGATTGGAAATGGATTTTGTTACTCACAAAAGTGATTGCCAGGACCGGCGTAGTGGTGCCCTTTGTATGCTGCGAACAATCCAGGATTTATGCCGATCTGAAATAAAATATTGCATTATTTGTCGTTCATTGTCCTAAAATTTTAATTTACGGACCAAGGAGATAAATAATAATGATTTTGTATATCATACACCTAGGGAATGTATTACTTTGGATTGAAATAAATAATTATCATTTTATTGGTGATGGAAAATTTATTTGTGTAAATTACGATTCCTGGGTGGAAATTGTTTTTATTCATTCCTTTTGTCCACTCAGGTGAAGGGTTATTGTTGGGGGATATTCATTTACTTGAGGATTGAATTAAGATAATTATGATGCTCTGGATAATAATTTTTTGTATATGATATTCCGTGGATTTTTTTAATTGTTTCAGTGCAGTGGTCAGGGGTAACAAGTCAACTTGTTACGTAATCGAGTTTTCGAGGGGAATAGTGAAATTTTCATTGGAATCTTTTTTGGAGAGTGCAATGAGAGCTGCAAAAAAGGTAATTACACACATTTTATTATTGTCCCTAGGTTCGGAGATATTTCTCGGGGAAGTGGTTGTCAATTAGCTTGACTTGTCCTAAAAACGCCGTACTTTCTTGAGAGCAGGATTTCATTCAATTTTTATTAATGTCATTATTAATTGAGAGATGATCGTAATTAACATCATTCGCCATTTTTCAGTGCGGATTGTATGGCAATTAATCCGTCATTTTTACTCAATATTTTTTTCTGTAATGAAATTCAGCTGGCGTCGGATGCAATAATGACATACCGATTTTTAAAAAGTCATACGATTTTTTCGGTAAAAAAAAACCCTGTGGATGTAAAATGTTATTCATACAGTCATGCTTTTCCCACCGATTGAGTACTTTTGTTCTTGCTTGCATTTAAAATCCATGAAAACGAATAGAACGGGAATTTTATCGGACAGGTTCGTTAAAAAATTAATACGCAATATTGAGCAATCATTCACGTTCACTGCAATATTTTTTTCTGATATTCAACGTAGATTTTATAGCGCCGAGGAAAATTCGCGTAATGCCCAATAAATTTCATCAGAAAAAAATTCAATCGCGAGGACTAAAATCCTAGATTAGGCAGGAAAGCCTGTAATAAAAAAATATCTTCTAAATTCGGTGGGTCTTGAGAATTTTAAATAAATCAATATTTGCAATGAGTGGGTGAGAGAAGAAGGAAGCAATAAATTGGTCAAGTTTATACCAAAAAAAAAACATAAAATATCTATTTTATATATCTTTTCGGTATCCTCACAGGGAAAACGGTATTTTATGCGAAAATATATATAAATAATAAATATAAATATTCCCAGCAAAAATGCAACATGTCACATATAATTTATTATTATTATTAATTAATTCGGTAATATATCTCATGAATATTTCAGACGGCACGAAGAACGACATACATGCAGAATATATATTCATTACACCCCCATATATTCCACGTATATAACACGCATATATTCGACACATATCCGATATATACATGAAATCTATTTTCGATCAAAAATCCAATGTCACATATACGTCCTATTCAATTACCAGTGTCTATTGAAGTAAAACAAGCAATTGTCAAACTAGTATTAAGATTAATCTTTAAGATCAAGCATATTATAATAGTATATCATAATACATTATATTATGATGATCTTAATTGCTGAGGGGAAAACGGAGGGAATAAAAATGTAAAATGTAAAAACCCGAGAGGGTATACATTTAGACAAATTAAATATTCCATAATTAATGTACATGTATACCTTCTCAGATTTTTACATGTAGTTCCCTTCTCCCCTCTTTCTAATGGAGATATTGATGATAATGTAATGTAGCATAAAATGCAGTAATTTAATTTAATAACAATCTCGTTCTTGGGGTTGCACCAATTAATAAAATATTAGTGTATATATTTTGTTCGTGGTGGTATTCTTCAGGTACATTTAAATGGAGATGGAGATTTTTAGCGAGGATGAGGATTGGGGTGAGGGAAGAGGGAATAATACGCGTGGTTCATCTGCATTTGGTAACGGCGAATGATTATGCAACGGCCCGACACGGACACGCCGGGTTACCTGTTGCGCAACAAACATCCGAAGACGTTATATTCGCCTCTTTACATTTGAGGTTAGGTAACTAATAAACGAGCCATAGTCCAAGGATAAAACCGCCAAGAGTCGAGGGCGTCGTTAACAGCGCACATGCTTCTTGCGTAATTATCTCAAAATGAAGAGAGAAGAGAAAAAAAATTGAAAGGAGTAGAAAGCAAATGCTTATTCTTATGCACACGCTATTTACCTCATTGTGGTGGTTATGAGGGAACCCTTGTGGTGGTCTTTGATAGCTCTTTGGAACGAAACGAAAACGAGCGAGATAGGGGAGAATAAAAAAAAAAAAGATGAGACTTTAATCGGGCTATTGTACCTTTATTCAGAGCCCTCACTCACACGATGAATACACATTAACACGTGTGCTTACGTCGGACGAGATGTCTCCAAAAGAACCAGAGAAAGTCACGGCTTTGGGTCGAGCACTTTTTTTTTTGTCGTGTATTTTTTTTTTTTTAAATTATGCTTGTGGTTGTTTTTACGGACTGTCATTCGCGGGTCTATGGGGGAGATCAACATTTTTATGCAAAAGTTATGGTTTTTTTGAGGCCTCGGTCGTTGCACCGGGGGAAAACATTCACCTGACGCCACAGAAAAATTACACCATCAGGTTTACTCTGCTATTTTTCACGGAATCACATCATTTTTTTTTTTATTTACGATTGTTCTTGAGGATTGTTTTAGAGTTGGATTGAAGCGAAACTATCTTGGAAATTGAAGGCTATTTTTTTATCATCTAGTTTATTTATTTATTATATTATTAGAATTGTTAATATGTCGAATGAGAAAATAACGTTGGCTGATAAATGACCGATGCCTCAAAGAAACTCCACATCACAGATCGAATTACGAATTCAATTCATAGAAATCCTCAGGCAATATTCAATACGGTGTGCAAAATACATCGATTTATTAATGTACACTACAGTAATCTCCAGCTCGTTCAAGTAAATCACAACGATCGACTGCCCTTAGGGATATTCATTTAAAAATAATTGGGCTTTTCTGCAGTTAACAATTTTATCATTTTATCATTTGTAGTATTTTTAACAATAATATAATGATATCGTCAAACATCAACTTGTAACATTTTTCGGACTAATATTTTAGCGAAGTAATATATTTGCATTAGAATATTTTGAGGGATAATATTATTATTGAATAGAATTTAGAGCGGTCACCGTTGTGATTCGTCTGGAGGTAAAAACAACTTTGTATCTACACGCCGATTGATCTGGTCGTCAACGTGCAGTGGCATAACAGCATTTTCACGATTCAACACCTCGCGGTCCAAATGCGGAATGAACAAGTCTATAGTTGGGGGAGGGTAACGATCCGCGGTATGGAGACAAAAGGAACGGTGCGTGAGCAATTATTGATATCATACACTTCATCGTGCGGTGTCCGTCAATATTGAGAGAGAAGAGGAATTATGGAATGGTTTCATGACTGCTTAATGTATTTTTATCACTACTGTCCAAAGTGCTTGCTTTTACCAACACTTCCAACAAATTTCACAAATTAAAAAATAAAAACAATATTATTTTTGCGAATACGTACTCCATTGAAACACAAAATGCAATCACACGTACAATCGCACGTGCAATCATACGCTTTAGGAATCATAACGACGACCCGAATAATCCTATGAGCTTATTTGTGTCGTAATTTTTTAATAATTAGATTGACAATACTTGTCTACTTACGATTATAATATCGAGGTTTGGAGTGAGGTGATCTGGTAGCACTCGTTTGCTGACCTCCTCCTCGGGCATTCCATCGAATCTGTCGTGTTTCTTTCTTTCCTTATACGTTTTGGCCCGTTTCTTCGCCTCCGCCAACTCCGCCCTGAGGAAAAATCACGTAGGACCACGTCGTTAGTCAATGGAAACTACTTTTTTTTTTCCCCTCATTCGTCTTTTCTCTCTTCAGACAAACATTCGGCCTTTTCCCCTTCACTTTTTTACGCCCTTGTGTTTGCAGAGTCGAATGAACCATACTCGGTGAATTCCAAAGCTATTCCCCCCCGAATACCGCAATTACGAAGGTGAATTTGTCAGATTTACTAAGTATTATGTGCAGCGATCAATTCACTCGAGAAATGTGAGTTTTTAATGGTAAGTATCAACTAATCCGATTTATTTTGAGAACTGACGATTCAGGGGGAACATTAAAGGCCTTTTTTATAGCTGAGCAAATTCTCGATAAAAATTATCTGGTGATATTTTTTTTACAGCAAGTGATATTTTAGAAAATTCTACAGGACAATTTAGGGCTGAATATCAATCAATTGATAAGTACTTAATAATAACAATAATTAAATGAAATATTCCTAATTATCTTGTGATTGTAATAATTGTTTGGATTTTTAATGCTGCTTGAATAATTAATTGATATTGAAATAGTGAAACGAAAAAATAGGAGAACCTACTCTTCTGGTGTTAATATCATCTCGGATTTTTTCTTTCGCCCTCTCTTTTTCGGCTGCTGTTGCAATTGCAGTGGATTTACTACACCATTCATAGCGATATTCATCTGGTGATGTTGATGCTGCTGGGGATTCATCATTGGCCCCGGGGACATTGACGTCGGTGTGCCAAGGCCAGATTGTGAACCACTGGGGCATGTAATGCCATCAAGATTTTCACCGGGACTACTTGCCGTTCGAACTCCACCCATCGACATCTCCTCGTCGACGAATGAATAAGGGTCCACTGGAGTTTCACACTTGACTCCAACCTGCAATTGAAATTCCAAGGAATTGTTCAGAGGGTGTGAATATAATGGGCGTGTCAGTGCTGTCTTATCATTGAGCTGTTTGGTGAATGTCAATGATGAAGATGATGGACAAACTTTCTACAAATACTCTAAAATTTTGTTATCCACTCGAAATTGTCATTTATTATTTAAAACGCTTGGATGTTTCCTAATAAATTTCTGTGAATGTCATTTGAATAGATATTTTGATGAAAATGAAATAATTGAGATTGTTTAGAATTGTGGAGAAAAAGTAGAATCCCTTTTTAAGGTGAGCAGAGAAATTATGGATTTCCTTCTAATGAAAAGAACAAGTTCTCCCTAAATTTGTTTTTTTTTTGTTTTTTTTTCTGTTTGCCTGAGTGCAGATGGGGATGGAGGAAATTTGAATGGAGGAGATGGGAGATGAAAGATAGTTGGATGAAGGGTGGTTTTGCGGTAATGATGGCTAACGCGGTTTGGGGGAAGGCCCTATGAAGCTCACTCACCTGTCCCAATGTGGCCCCAGTGGATCCTGGCTGCTGAGGCTGATGTGGAGTCGCCGATATTGGCGTCAAAGGTGTGTGCGGAGTATGAGGTGTATGTGGGGTATGAGGCGTCAGTGGTGTATGATACTGTTGGCTACTGTCACCACCATTACTCCTCATCTCTAGGTCGGGACTCGTCTCGTACCCGTCATCCCTAGCCTCCTGCTTAACCATTATACCTGTAATATTATATTATGTTTACAAAAATTTCCATTGCATTTTGAATTATCGGATTTTTAATGCAATTTGCTTTAATGCAAAAATTCAAAATTTACAAAATTTGAATGCAATTTTAAAATTTTTTATTCCATTTCAAATTGGACTGTTGGACTGTCATTATAAGTTTATTTAATAGTCAATTTTTAAATGGAAGCTTGAATTTTGATCAGATTGAAAATTCAATTGGAGATATTGCTTTGCAGGGGGAGAATATATTTTAGGACAGAATATCAATTTTTTCGGGGCTGTTAAAAATTTTACGTTTGTTCGATTAGAATGCAAACTGTAATTTTATAGCAGGGAATTATCAGTATTGAAAATTTTTGAAATTTTTACAGAATTCAGATCATGTACATCCTATATCAGCAAATAAAGATGATCGTCTAGTAGAAAATAACTCAACGGTTTAGTTGATCGTTCGTTGTCCCAGCTGAGTAAATTTTTAACAAGAAGTGTTTTTAAGAAAAAAAAAAAAGAAAACACGTGTAACAATGACTCACACACGTCTTCCCACCGTTAGCTAAACAACAATTCGCTCATTCATTTTTTACTGATAATTCAGTGGATTGTTTAAACGTTCCCCCACGGAACGAACTTAATGACGGTTAACTAAGTGAGTCAATTATTGAACTTATCCTTGAAAATAACAAAAAATGTTGCTAAATCCTAATGAAAAATTATCTGCAATTCAACACAAACAAATTAATATACAAAATTGTTTCCCTGATTTGAAAGCTTAAATAATACATTGAAAAAAATGGTTTTAGAATATAATTCTTTTACAGTTACGATCGAATTCAATTAATTATTCGTTACTTTGGACTAAATTTTAAAGAAAAAAAAATCAGATATTTTCCTACCGAATCATCAATTATGGAGATGATTTTTAATTGAACTAGCAGTAAAAATTCTCCCTGTTACGTTCTGCCAACGCCAGTGAGAATGTCTTCCTATTTCGCTTAATACTAATGATTGCATCTCATTAATGTCATTTCGATTTAATTAATGCTGGAATCTTAATGCTCAAGATAAAACCTCTTCATGATTGCTCAATAACGAGAAGATTAAAAAACCAATGTTGACATACCTGACGTGATAAAAAAAGAATTAAACAAATGCATTCAAAGGTAGAATGTACGTTAAATTAATCATTGCATTGGTATTCACCTTGTGAACCGCTACAACTCATCGTGTTGCTAGTCTGCCCTCCGTTTTGTACTGGAGACGGATATGACCTGCAATTAAAATAATGCCATTATAAGTAATTGAACTTTCACAGTAATCATCATTATCAAAGAATTATCATTACGAATATAGATTCCCAAAAATTAAAAAATCCGGCAATTTTTGGAGATGATGAAACGTCAATTATAGATTGAACTGAAAATCATGGATTTTAAAGTAAAATCTAAAAATATGTTTTTGTTGAAAATTTAATCAACCAAAAGACATCTTCTGACATTTGCCACTGAACTCATAATTTTTCGAGATAAATCAATAATAAATAAAGATGATTTTGTGACACTTTGCCCATCACCTATATAAATTGATATCTCTAGAATTGATGTTGAATAATTTTGTTGGTGAAGTGGTGAAACAGAAAAAGTCACCAGAACTTCAAGGTGAGCTTTGCCCTAATGACTGTCTTTGAAGTCATGATAACTGGTGGAATGTTGCACATGCGAAACGAAAAATTCCGTCGTTTCTCTTCACCTCAGAGGCTTTTGTGTTGCAAAAAAAAATAATGTCGAAGTGAAATTGGCGTAACAAATTCATCACTACTGATTTCAAGTCACATATAGAAAAAAAAGGACAGAAAGGACAGTGACGTGAGAGACGTTGGGAATTCGTAAGAAGAGTAAAAATGGCCTCAGCTACGCTGGTGTGCGTAAGTTGAAGTTGAGAATTACGCAAGTCAATGGCTGATGGAAAGTATTCGACTGGCATCATGGCAAATGTGTGGAGAACACATTGGCTTGTGTATGAGGGAAGAAAAATAGAAAACGACAGCAGTGGCCCAAAGCCAGAGAGTATAGTACCTGCCACTGACAGACAGAAACTTCAACTTTCTTAAAATCAAAATGCCTTCAGCTTCTGGATACAACGGACTAGGAAAAACCAATGAATAATCGAGGTCAAATTGCAGGGAAAAATTTTCACCCAAAAATTAACAACATTGAAATTACAAATGTCTTTCCATAATATTTCGTAAAAATGGTGTCTCTCTTAGTAGAATTACGGAGTTGTAAAAAAATGGGATGACACTAGTAAAATTTACTTTTTTTAGACGAATTTCATGGAAATATTGGCATTTTTTTTGGATGTAAAACGGAGGATGTAGCGACCGTAAATAAAGTTTATCTCTCTATCAATCTGTTGTCATTTTTTCTAGATTCATGGGGTTGCAGTAAAAAATACAATGACTAGTTAGAATGACAATTTTTCGTGAAAATCCCAGAGTAATATTGTAATTTTATGAGATTCCTGACGTTGCAGAGAAAAATCCAATGAGCTAATTTACGATTCCATATCCAATTAATAATTCAAACTCTTTTAATAAAAAATGAACTAAAATTAAATTTCTACTAGACTCATTTCTTCACCTCAACTCGAGGGCAAAAATTCCTTGAGAGCCATATTCGGTGTACGATTACCAAGCGTAAGAGTGAATTTAACAATAAAAATTTTTCCTCGCGTGGGAAATGGTAAGAAGCTTGCAACATTCATATATACATTATTTAATCTCCTTCCCATCTGACTCCACAAAGACAAGTTTAAAAATGTCCTCATCACATGTCGAATAAAATTCTTTAATTCAGTTGAGAATCTTCGGAATACATTGTGAATCCCCGTCTTAGATATTCCATGATTAGGATCATAATTGACACATGGAGAAGACTCGGTAGTAAAGTGATCCGTGTTTCTGCGAGGTGAAGTTGTCAAGAATTCACTGAATTATTAACTCCCTCGAAATTCCTCGAGCATTGAAATTTTGCCATTTTATCTGTCGCATTTGAGTCAACCCCAGTTGAAAATTTTTGTTAACAAAACCATCAACCACAAAACAAACTTTTCCACATCCACCAATTGCATCATACCTTCCAAGAAAAATTCTTTCCAAACAACATTCTAAATTCCACCAAGAAAAATCCCCCCATCAACATTTTCCCAACACCTGACTATTTTCCTGTCCAAATATCATCCCATCGTCTCAATTTTTTTTTTCCAACCCAAATAAACATTCACCCAGCTAATTCGAAAAAACCACCTGGAATAATTTTTTAGGTGGAATATACCTGGTTACCATATACTTTTTATGCCAGGCTGTACCTTATGTATATGGCCCAGGGCATCTGTACATGGATATATCCCCCTCTACATTTTGTACATGGGCTGCGTTATACAACAGTGTAGCTGTACATATAGACATTCACATATGTACAGCGCGACCGTGCGGGCGCACGAGACGGCCATATGTACATAGAGCCCTCGTAAATATGTGCCTGGAGTTAAATACACAGAGTATATAAAGGTGAGGTGGTGAGGTGGTGAGGTGGTGAGGTGGTGAGGTGGTGGGTGGTGGGTGGTGGGGTGTAGCGTGTTGGAGATGGTTGGTACATAGAAGTACTTGCTGGGAACGACGACTAGGGCAGTCGCAGCACACAGGGTGAGGGGAATAGCCGGAAAGAGAGGAGAAGAGAGTTACCAGGGGGGGCATCGGGGGGAAGTGGTGGGTGGGAGGGGGGTGGTATACCAAAGGGAGGGACACAGAAAGTAGCGACGGCTGTGAGTTGTTCGTGATACTTGAGCAAAATGATATTTTCCATTTTTTAGGGATGAGAATGAGAAAAGTTATTATTATTATTAGTAGTTGACGAAATTTCATTTGAGGGATTTATCATTTTGTGGAGCACCAAAAATTCTGCGGATTTCCAATTTAGATGGATTGATTTCGGAGTGGAATCGATCATTTGAGATTGTTAACTATTGGGGTTTTATTATTGAAATTATTCAAGTCAAATTTTCACATTATTCATTATTCAATATATTCAATTATTTAATTGTTCCCTCTTGGAAATTTCTTCTGGAAAAGTCTCTCATATTTTTCTTGAATAGTTCCAGAGTAGGTTTCCCTTATTGTAACTCATTGTTATTCATTGTTCATAATAATTAAAAATCATTCTAAAATGAGTAAATGGGAACTCGTTTAAAAGAACGGTCAAAAAACTATGTCACCTAAACTCTACAAGAAGAGAAAAATTCTTTAATAATTACGTGCCTCTTCCGTAACCTGCCAGTCAACACAGTATTCGGTAAAAATTACGGAACAGTTACGCATTTTTTTACTGAACATTCCGTACTTTTTTGTAAACGTTCTGGATTTTTTTCGGCAAATGCACTGAAAAAGTGCGTAACTGTTCCGTAATTTTTACTGAATATTGTTTTGACTGGCAGGGTACGGAAGAGGCACGTAATTTTTAAAGAATTTTTCTCTCCGTGTATGAAAAAAAATCATCTACAAAAAGATACATGAAGCTTCTTAAAAAGTATTGTCAAAGTCTGTGCACGAAATCAGTCGTATTTTTTGTTGGCTGATTGCCTTGTTTATTACTACATATGTATTTGTTTTGTTTTGATTTGATAGGATTGTAGAAATCAATACCGCGAGATAAGTACATTGAATTTGTAACTGTACTTGGGGATTATTAGTTTTGTTTTGATTGAGGATAAATATAGAAATTAATATTTCTCAAGTAAACGGCTCGATAGCCAAAAATTTCCCATGTATTTCGACAGAAACTCGTAAATACTCGTAAGTACTCGTGTAACCCAGCTGTGAATTAATTTTTAAAATTTTTTTTGATGGGGTTTTGTTGTCCCCGGTTTTTTAGACATGAACCCGAGTAGATAATCAGAATACTCGCCAACAGTGCAATTATTGAAGACCAAAATGTTTCAAAATTGCGAAATAAACAAAAATAAGCATTACCGGTTTTTTCGATTGAATGAACATCAATGGATGTCACAATTCATTTACTTCCCCCGGAAAAATGAACATTTTCATCCAACACTTGGATCATAAAAAATAATGATAAAAAATACTGATGCTTTCCAGTAGACACAATACCAGATAACAAATATATGCTTGCTTGCTCATTACATCTTCAAGTCCTAAAGTCCAAATAATATATTTCACCCGAGCCACGAACAATTAATCAACTCATCGATAAAAGCCAATTGAAATGATTAAAAAAAATCCTCATCACCTGCCCATTTCCATTTTCACCCATTACCTCCAAATCGAGTGAGCCTAAATTCCACAACCATCACTACTCCCCCACATTTGATTTGCTCCTGCAATAGGCCCAGTTCAGTATGATCTCAAAAAAATAAAACTAAAAATCATCCTAAAAATGAGTTGTTAACCAGAACAACCGTGGATGGATATCATCGGAAAAGTGGGGAAAAGAAAATTTGGAGGATAGTTAAAGTACAGTAGGTAGCCGGGTCGTAGCCAGTCTGTAGCCGGCGCTCGGCGTTGCCAGGGGAAACCTCCAGAAAACTCGTCTCTACACACGTACAAATGCGGCCGCGAGGGGGGAGAGGGGGGAGGGGAGGGCCACACGGCCACACGGCCACACGGCCAAACGGAAACCAGCGCTAACACACTCATGGGGTTGGCAAGAACGCAAAGAGAGATAGAATATATATAACCCAAGTGAGTGAGAAAGACCCGCAACACATACACCAATACCTACACCTACACCAATAGCTACACCAATACCTACACCTACACCAATAGCTACACCAATGCCTACACCAATACCTACACCAATACATACACCAATGCTTACACTAATACATACAGACAGAGAAGCTACACGCAAACCTGCAATGGGGTGCTTCCCTCCATTATATACAACATCTACCCACCACCTCATCCCTCTCTTTCCTCTTTGCACACCCCCCTTTTCCCCCCTACCAACCCCTCACCCACCCACCACCGTTTCCACCCACGCACATAACCAACGCACACACACATACAGGACAGCTCAACTCCGCGAAAATGTCGATAACGAAAAACCCCAAGCTGCGAGACAGAAAATAGCCAGGACAAACTATTTTCTTCCATCGCCTGTGCATCCCTGATCCTTTTCTTTTGCCCTGGCCTTTTGTCTTCGCCATTTTTTTTTTTACTTCTCCATTCCCCCCCCCGTTCTTTTTTTTTCATCTC